AGAGCTTTCACTTTCTAAAACCTGTATTTCTATAATGTTTGACACTTTACTAAAAGCTTGTATTACTCTTGTAGTCAGAGAAAGAAAAAAAAGCTACAAAGATCTTTCATTTTTTAAAATGTTAAACTGCTTATAAAACAAAGAAAAATGTATTGACTGGGGCTGGTCCCCTCCAGCCCCCTGAACTCTGGGTTCCTTATCTAAGAAATGGGAGGGAGGCCCGGAAGGGCTCGGTGGGGCCAGGGGCTTCTCTGACTCAGCTCAGCCTGGATTCTGTTTGAACAAAGGGTTTCAAATAACCCAGCCACAAAGGGTCTCTAGGGTTCTGTCTGAGAGGTGGAGGAGGACAGGGAAGAGGAGGAGAGATGGACCGATTCTGGAAAGTGCAGTACTTTTAAGGATTGGGGGGTTACAGAACAAGAGGGGCTAGGCCATACGACAGCCCTTTCTAGTGGCTCCTGTCCCCTCCCTGCCCCTTCTCACACCCTGAGGACAGAATTGGTTCCGAGGAGCAGGCTTTCACAGGAACAAGTCTTGCGTAACAAGCTCTGCTCCTTGGGGATCTATAATTGATGAGGGTGCCAGGCCAAGAACTTTAGGCCTGCCAAGTGCGGGGGCAGCTGGAGGACTTGCAGAAGGTGGAAAACAGGACCAGCTTTGGACCTCCCATTTCCACCAGGAGGAGCCTGGGCCTTTCAGGACTGAAGTCCCAAATCCAGTCCCAGATGCTCCCTGGAGCATTCCTCAGAGTATGGTCCAAGAACATCCTGGAAAAAGCACCAGAGGGTAGAGGAGGCTTGCTACCCACGCAGATTCCGAGGCCCCATCTGCACGAAGATCAGAGACCAGGGAGGCTTGAAACATCCACTCTGAGCGAGCTCTGTGCTAGGCCCTTCACACTGAATCCCAGCTCCGTCATTTACCAGCTGTGTAAGCTGCTAACCTTGTCCAGAAGTGAAGCTGCTGTGTCCACACAGCAGCAACAATCAACAGGCACAGTTGTTACAGGGGCTCAATAAATACGTGAGAGCACACGGCCAGAGGCACCCGACCGGCCCAAAGCCTCACGGCAGTTACAGGGAGTAGCCTTGGGTGCTGAACCTCATTCTCCCTTACTCCTCATCAAGTGCTCTTTCCACTTCCTGCTCTAAGAACTGTAAGAAGGCCTGGTCCTTCTCCAGCTCTGGGGCCTGGTTCCCAACCACCTCACCTCTTCTTCTTAATACACCAAGGCCTCATAAAGGAGGAAGGTGGAGCTGGACAGCTCAGCAGGAGGAGCTGTGGGTATGGATAACCTGGCAGACAGGGGGCATTAGGTAGGCTCCAGGGCATCCAGCCCAGCTCCACCCAGCCCAGGCCCGAGTCCCTCTTCCCAGAACACACCCTACCCTTGGCTATCTGGATCCCAGAATGCTTTCCCATTATCCAATCCCCTGTGCCCTCACCTGAACAGACTCCTGTTCAGACCCTGTTGGCACAGAGGACCCTAAGGCCCAGAGAGGGACAATGACTTCTCTGAGGTCACACAGCACATCAACAGCACAGATGGGGCTTCACCCCTATATGAGAACCCCGCTGATGAGAGGCACATTGGTGTAGTGGAAAGAATGCCGGGAGTCAGGAGATCTTGGTTCTAGTCCTGGCTCTGGGACCGACTTGCTGTGTGACCCTGTGCCAGTTGCTTAACCTCTCTGTGCCTCAGTTTCCCTCCCTACCTTCAAATAAGATTTTTGGACTCTGACATTAAGGCTCATCTGGCTATCAAAGCTTGTGATCCCCTCCCTATCCTGACCGAAGAGAACTGCAGCTTTGTAAACCTACAGCTTTCCCTGAGCCCTTCCAGGGTGCCAAGCCCTGGGCAAGGCATTTCCCAGCTACCCTTCATCAAATCCTCTCTCCAGGAGTGAAGGGAGGGTACAACAGGCTCTCACGTAACTAGAGAGGAAAGGGAGGCTCTCAGAGACACCAAGTGGCTGGCTTGTCACGCATATTAGGGCAGAGCCTCTCAGAGCTCCTAGCTTGGCTTTGCTGAGCCCCACCTGGCTGAAGGTTGCAGGGGAAGAGCTCTGTGTTGGCTCAGACTCCTCAGAGTTCACGTTCAAGGGGGATTCTGATGAAAATAATGAGGAATGTGGTCAAGGGTACCCTTTCAAATACCTAACATGGGGCCTTCTGTTGGCAGGGCCTAAGCACTAATGGGTGTAGGAACAGGACTGTTGGGGAAGTGATAGGCTGGGTTCCCACCCCTCGCTGCTGGGGCTAGGAAGACAACCCTGTGAAGTGATGAATTTTCTTCTCTCCATTTTAAGATAAGAAATCAGAAGCTCAGGGGCGCCTGGGTGGCTCAGTCGGTTAAGCAGCTGCCTTTGGCTCAGGTCATGATCCCAGGGTCCTGGGATCGAGCCCTGCATCGGGCTCCCTGCTCAGCGGGAAGCCTGCTTCTTCCTCTCCCACTCCCCCTGCTTATGTTCCTGCTCTCGCTGTCTCTCTGTCAAATAAATAAATAAAATCTTTAAAAAAAAGAAATCAGAAGCTCAGAGAGGCAGTGTGATTTGTCCAAGGTCACATAGCTAGGAAGGCCCAGAATTCAAACCCAGGGCTAGCCAGCTCCAAAAGCCGAGCTCTGACCCGTCTGCCACATCACCCCACAAGGCTGAGAGATGGGTGGACCTGAGTGAGGCTCTGCCATTGATGCCTCTGTCCCTGATGCCTGGGACCTACCCTGTACTTGAGGCCAGACTTGAAGTAGCCCAGGAAGGTGGCCGACTCGAAGCCCTGGACCTCACGGTGCTGCACGGCCCGGCCATTCAGGTAGTCATCCAGCTGTACCGTGAAGATGGCGGCCGCCCCGCTCTCATCCTGGCTGCACTCATTGCCTAGGGGGCATCAGAACAGCGTGAGCCTGGCTTTCCAAAAGCAGTCCCAGCCTCCCATGGAAGAGGAGTCTGGAGCCCCCAGGGCTGCCCTGGCCTGGCTGTAGAAGCTGGGCAAGCCCCTGCCTTCTGTGGGCCTCAGTTGATCCATCTGTATAATGGGGCAGTGGGGGCTGGACTCCATGGTCTCTAAGAGTCCTCTCAGCTCTGACACATCCCCCACACTCACCTCTCTCATTCCCCCCATACTCACTTTCAGACCTCTAGACATGAAGTAGGGCCTGAGGCAGTGGCTCAACTCACAGATTAGGAAAGGGAGGTGCAAAGAGCAGGCAGGATTTATGGAGTCACCCAGCAGAGCGGGGACTCCAGGCTCCTGACTCCGAAGGGCAAACTGGGGTGTGGCTGGAAGTGAGCCAGGGAAGTGTGGAGGGGCTCCAGGGGCCCCACGTCAGCCCAGCTCTGAGCACCATGGTAACCTCTCGAACCCTCAAACCCTCCCGTGAGGTCGTGTGGTGTCATCACCACGTCCCCTTTACAGAGGCACTGGGTGGCCTGCCAAAGGGCAGAGCCGGGGTCTGAACTGGGACAGGCTGACTCTAGAGTCCCGGGACACCATTAGCCAAGGGGCTGGCACATATCTGATGCTCAACAGTCTCTTAGTTCCCATGGCGCTTCCTGGGGACCATGCCTCCAGGGACCACGCTTTACGGGGGGGGGGCCCTCACCGAGCCAGTAGTGGAGGTCATACTGCAGGTTCCCATTCCTCAACTGCACCGTCTTCAGGATGATGTAGGCGTCGCCTGTGAAGAAGTCTCCATAGAGGCCGGGGGGCACAGGCACCAGGTCAAACTTCTCCACGCGCCAGATCTGCAGGCCGGGCTCCTTCCCCGCCTTGAGGAATTCGGGGTGCTCCACCACCATGCTGCTGGGCTGGAAGAGACAGGAGGAGCCTGAGCAGAGGCAGGAGCCTTGGCGAGGAGAGACCCCAGGACACGAGGGAGGGTGGTTTCCAGCCCCAAGAGCATCTCACTTGAGCCTCTGACTCTCCCCACCCCGGAGGCGAGCCTACCCCTGTCTCTGGGAGTGAGCAAACAGGGCAGAGTTTAGGCTCCAAACCCTGTCCTTGACCAGAGTCTGTCTTGCCTACTCAGCTCACTGATGATGGAGGGACAGAAGGCTCTACCTTCCTTCTCCCTCCCCTTCTTAGTGCCAATTGGATGGGGCAGCTGAGGCATGGAGAGGTGAAAGTGATTCTGCCAAGGACCCCCGGCTAGGAAGTGGCGTAGCAGGCATTGCCCACAAGCTCCAAGAGCAGAAGTTCTGGAACCAGAGGGAGAACCCCTCACATGGCAAAGGTAAATATGGGGTCTCCAGGGGTTCAGTGTGTTCCCTTCCAGCATCCTCAGCGACTCTTAGAACTAGAAGGGTCCTCAGAGAGCTCATTATCCAACCCCATTCTGCAGATAGGGAAATTGAGGCCCAAACAGAGGAGACTGGCCCAAGGTCACACAGCCTGTTTGCTTTTGCTCTTTGGAAGATTTCCCATGTCCCATCCATATCCCCATCACACTCCCAAGAAGGACCTAGATGGCTGAGCCCAAGTGGCCTCCTGAGCTGTCTGCCTCCTCCCTCCTGCCCCCCCACCAACATCCCACCCCCAATTCCATTTCTTGGGAAAGGTGGAGAGGACGCAGCCAGGGTCTGTAGGAGCCTGTTGGAGATGAGGTGGTCAAGGATGGGGGAAAGCCCGTCAGACATGCACAGGGTCTAGAGATGGAGCAGAGCAGGATGGTTAGCCTGGAGTTGGACGGCAGAAATCAGCAGGCACAGGTCACCTCAGGCCGGAGGACGGATCTAAGGGAAACCAGATGGGGAGCACTCAGGCAGAGGGGTGGAGAAACACAAAAGGAAAACAGGAGAGAGAAGGAGAAACCAGACAGGGCAGACATATCAGGGAAGGAAGAATAAATAATAGTAATGAGGATAAGCAGACAGAGGTGAGATCATACAAGAAAGAGGGGGGAAATACTGGAGAGGGAAAAGAGAAATCAGATGAGAAAGAAGAATCTGAAATGAAAGAAAAAAAATCAGAAGATGGGTCCAAGGACAGGACACATCCCTATAACTAAAACTCTCAGCTGACTGGGGGCGGGAGGGCTCTGGGTCACCTGAGGAGGCAAGGTAAGTGACCACCCAGCACGCTTCTACTGGGGAGGATCCCTGCCCGTGGGCCTGACAAATTTATCATAGCAAACTGTGCAGTGGTCCCTGACTCTGCTATTCCTAATCTGCTGCCTACCTCAGCCCGCACATGACTGACCCCAGGGCCGGGCCAACGCCGAGCTGGGAGTCTAAGCCCTGAGGCTTTGGAAATATCGAAGAACTATTTGAGGCCTTTGTCTCGGCTACTGGCTACTGCATGTAGTTTTGTCCATTTCCTTGGGAAGACAACTCAGTACATTCTCTGCTAGTTATTCACAGAATATCAGAGCTGGGAGGAATCTTAGAGAGAGATTCTCGTGTCCCACACTGTTGGGGAAGGGAAGTGACTTATCCATGGTCACTCTGCCATCCAGTAACAGAGCAGGGCCCTGGCTTCTCATTCCACGCTGCATCCCGCCTCCCTCACGCGGCATCCTCAGGATCAGCAGTCACTGTCAAAGCCTCAACCCTCAACCAAGGGGTCCTTGGCAGAATCACTTCCACCTCTCCATGCCTCAGGCCCTTCAAGATCCTAAAGTGTCTCCTGAAACATCAGAGTTTAAATGTTGTTCAAGACAAAAAAAAAAAAAAATCAGAAGAGGGGAGAGAAATCAGGCAGAGGGAAAAGGAGAAATCAGGAGGCGGAGATGGGTAAGAAATCAAAAGGCAGAGTCTAGGGAACAAGAAATCCGGCCAAGGTGAGGTTAGCCTCTAGGGAGGGTAACAGCCAGGCGCCCTGAGGCTCCCACCCTCAATCCACGGGAGCCCCGCAAGCAGCAAGAGATACTTACAAAGCAACAAAACAGTTTTTCCATTCTAGACCTGAATTACTCCCCTTTTCCTAGCGCTGTATCTGCAAGAACTTACAATAGAGAGTTACTCCGGGAGCCCCCGGGCCCCCCGGGCACTCACCCGCGCCTGGGGCACCCGCCCCTGGGCCGCCCCCCGCGAAGCGGTGGCCGCGAGAGCCGGCGGCGACAGCGCGCACAGCGCCAGGACCAGCGCGCAGAGCAGCGCGGGCGCAGAGTGGTGCGGAACCATGGCAGCGCCGGCGGCAGAAGACCCCAGTCGGCAGCCTCGGATCTCCAGATCACCGAGCCTATATAGCCGCCGGCCCTTCCCACTCAAGCCGGGGACCGCCCCTTAGGGAGGGCGCGGGCCCGGGAGGGGCGGGGATCAGGCCTGGAGGTTGGAGACGTCGGGGATCCAACCCGGACACACCCGACTGGGCGTGGCTGTCCCTTCACCCCTGCTCTGGGGGCGAGACCCAGCAAAGGGCCTGAAATACAGCAGGCGCCAACGCAATGCACACTAAAGGGGTGCGTGCAGGTATGAAAGGCAGAAAGCCCAACTCAGCCTCCTGGTGTGCCCCAGCGAGCCCCCTCCCCTCTCTGCACCTAACATCCCCAGCAAAAACATAAAAAACAGTTTTTGAAGGCTTTCCACACATCATATAAAGGCTGGCGTCTCCTAACATCCTTTACAGAGTAGGTACTATGGACAGCCCCATTTTACAAAGGGAAAGACTGAGTGCAGAATGGTCAAGCAACTTGCACACAACTAGGAAATGGTGCCGCCAAGATCTGAACTCAGGTAGTTTGGGTGGAAGGCCCACCTAGGCAGCATGCAGCTGCCCCCAGCTAGGGGCAGGTATGCAGGGGGCTTGCCTTCATTGCTCCAGTGAGCAAGCAAGACTCCGGAGGGACAGGCAGACCTCTCAGCTGAGATGGCAGGTTCTACTTTACTTGAGACCACCCTTCTTTCCTTCTTTTTAAAAAGTTTGTTTTTATTTTTTTAAGACCTTATTTATTTATTTATTTATTTATTTATTTATTTATTTGAGAAAGAGAGAGAGAGGGAGGGAGTGTGCATGAGTAGGGGGGCAGAGGGACAAGCAGACTCCCCGCTGAGCCCGGAGCCTAACGCAGGCAGGATCCTAAGATCAAGACTTGAGCTGAAGTCAGACGCTTAACCGATTGAGCCATCCAGGAGCCCCAACAGGTTTTATTTTTTAAAAGTTTATTTTTATCACAACTTAAAGTCACCTATTTGTACCAATTGTTCCCTCTCAACCCCACTCAGTTTTCCCCAGGAGCAACCTATTCTATCGACCTCCTTTAGTTGATGCTTCTGGGCTTGCCCTCATATCTTAAATACCAAGCCCTTGTTGGTTCTTGTAGTTGGTGGTGGTGGTTCTGTGGGTTTATTTTTTCTTTTTTCCAGGGGAGGGGTTTATTTTTTCACTTCCAGATCTTATCTATCGGCTCCCCCTGAGGAAGACAAGGATTTAAGTCTCTTCCTCATTCTAAGGCTCCCTTCCCACCCTCCCTACTGTCCCACTAGAGGCACCCAGGCATTGTGTTAGAACAAATAATATTCCGAGTCAAGGAGGCCTGCTTTCCACCTCCATCAACTCCTCCCTCATCCCTCCCACCACTCTGTTGGACCCACTTCTCTGTTTCCAAGTTCTCTTCCCATCCTCTCTCCCAACAGCCTAGTGCAATGAGAGGAAGTGAACTGGGGAGCTGGAGATCTGGTTTGACCCCCGCCTCCACTGTGTGTAAAGTACTTTATGCCTCAGTCTCCTCATCTACTAAATGGGTATAGTAGTTGCTGAGGATTAAATCAGTCTGATGTAGTTGCTGAGGATTAAATCAGTCTGTATGTATGAAAATGGCCTGGCCTGCAACTAGGTAAATGGGTTCCTGTCCCCATTCCCCCCAAGCTATGGTCACCTATCCCAGCTCCTCCTGGAGCCCAGCTTCTATCAAATCAGGCTGAAGTTTGCCTTGCACCACCCACAACTTCCTCCCACTTAAGGCAGTCTGTGGGTCAGATAAAGAGCTAAGGGAACACAGAGAGAAGGCAATTCAGACTGTAGGGATTGCAAGAAGGCTTTGTGATAGAAAGGACTTGTGACCTAGGCCTCAAAGGACAAGGAAGAGGGAGATTGAGAAAAAAAGACATTCTAAGAGAGGGGACAGCATGGGCAAAGGGCAAGCAAACACAGGCCACATCCAGTGGATAAGGAGGGGTCCAACCTAAAACACAGGGAGCAAGAAGAGATGAGATGGTGGCAGGAGGCACAGGGGCCTGTGTGCCCCGCTGGAGTCTGAACTTTATCCCGGGGTCTGTGGGGAGTCCTAGGGAGGTGCCTGAGGCCTGGGCCTGCAGAGTCTGCATTCAGAGCTCTTCCCTCTTGCTGGGGATTTGGAGGATTATAAAAACCCCAGAGTTCCCATATGCTCTTGCTGTAAGCATAAACCGGTTTCACCTCTCTGGATAGCAATTTAGCTCCCCAAATTCGAGAAAGACACAATGCAACAAAAGTTCCGCTTCCTTCAGTATTACTTACAGAGAAACACCAAAATATATGTACAAGGATTCACTGAAGCATCGTTTGAAGAAAACTGGAAAGGACCCAAATGTCCCGATTCAATAAATTACAGAGCCACCATAAAATGGACTACTTTGCAGCTGTGAAGAAAGAATGAGCTAGATCTGATTGTGCCTGGCACATAGTAGGGATGCAGGAAGTAAAGAGAAACCTTTAAGTGCAAAAGGCAAATTGTACAAGGACTATAGTATGGCTCCTCTCCTCTTTTTAATAAGGGTTCCGTTTTTGCACACATCCTTAAAAAGTCAAGGAGGGTAAACGCCAAACTGTCCAGGCAGTTTGCTTGAAAGGGACGAAGGGGGAGAGCTGTGGCTGCCCAAGGCTGGAGTGAGCGCCCAGATCCCTGTCATCGGCCTGAGAGGACACCCAAGGGTAATGAAAACATTCTAACAGTGGAAAATGGTGATGATTACACTCTCGAAAAATCTACCAAAAATCAGAGTACTGAACGCTTACAGTGGGCGAATTGTTATGGTAGATAACTTACACCTAAATACTTGCCTGGAAATAAAATGAGCTGTAGGGTTTGAAACTATTTACAAGCATGCATCCATCCATTGTCATTGGGGTTTTTTTTTTTCCTTTTAAAAAGAAATAATACCATTAAAAATATACTTCAAGTGATGCCTGCTCATTAGACAGTTCAGAAAATACAAACAAAGAAGGAAGAAGAAATTTCCTCACCATCCCAGCCCCCAGAGTGAAAGTGAGTTGGCAGCTAGCCTAGCTGAGCAGTCCCTTCTGGAGCAGTGTGGCCCTGACCTGGCCGGTTGGTGATTCACAGAAGACTGCTGCGGCTTTGGCCTTGGCCCCGGGGGTCACTGACCACCAGCCCAGAGTCCCCGGCCCCCAGGTTACTGACTACAAAGGCCCTGCAGCTTTGCCTGTCACATAGCTCTGGAGCCTGGGACCTGATGAAGAGTCCCCAGCCCCTTCCCACCGCCCCCCCCACTCCCACCCGGGGGAGCCCACAGCCTGGAAATTCTTGCTACAGGGCAGTGATGTGTGGGCTCCGATGGGGCAACGTGGCCTTACGCTGCTCCCTGCCTGGGGGAGGATGTGTGAGTTCAAGACAGCATGGGGATTTGGGTGCAAAAGAAAGACACCTAGGTAAAAAGGAAGAGGCTCAAGTGCTAGGCCTGCCTCTGCCACTGACTTCTTGGGTGACTTTGGACAAGTCCCTGTCCTCGTCTGAGCCTCAAGTCTCCATATGCCCCATGTATTGGGGCAGCATGCTCTGACTCTTAAGATGCATTCCCAGAAACTGGCTGTGCAACCATATCCAGAACTTATGTATCTGTGAGCTTCAGGGTTCCCATCTGTAGAACAGGGGCACTGGAGTGGGTCACCTCTACAGGACCCTCTGATTCAGACAGTCCAGGGCCCAACCTGCAGAAGGAGAAACTACCATCACCAATGGCAGTATGCCACCTCTCCTGTGGGTCCAGACATCTCTGGGAGAAGAGAGATAGGAAAGTGGCGCGGGGCGGGGAGGGGGGGTCCAATACCGAGTCTCCTCACAGCGACCAGGGGAAACAGGCATTCAAGTCCCCATGTTACAGATGGGGACACAGACTCAGGGAGCTTCAGTCACTGGCTCAGGGCCACTCAGCTGGAAAGAGGCATTGCTGAGATTCAAACACAAGCCTCTAGTCCCCAAGCTCTGTCTGGGGGGATCAAGCAGGACCTCCTGCCACCATCCGGCCTGAGCAGGGAGCAACAGTGATGTTTCCAGATAAAGGGCTGCAGTCCTTAAACCAGTCAAGCCCAGGCCAAGCCTGGCAGCCAGGAGTCTCTGAGACAGCCAACCCCCGCCCCGCCCCCCACACACACCTCCCCAGGCTGGGGCAGGAGATCACAGGAAGGCCCTCTGGGCCTCCACATACCTGTGTGAGTACCCAGGGCAAAGGCATGTCCTAGGAAGACCCCCAGGCTGTGGCCACAGAGCAGAAGAGAGACCGAGGCCCCTGTACTCTGGGCCACTCATGGGCCTGGTTTCTTTAAGTTGGGGAGCCAGGCTAGCTCTGCCACCACCTGCCCTGTGAGCACATGCCCTAGTCCCTGTCCTCCTCTGGAACTCAGACATCCCCTTAACCCTCGATCTTGGCTGCTCCTGGCTCCTGCCCACTGCCCAGCACCTGCTAGGCAGCTTTTCAGTGTCTGCCACAGGAAGGGGCCCATGTCCCTCCCCTGCAGTTAGACCCCCTCAACCAGCTCTGGCCCTGCTCCCTCTCACTCTGTGACCTTAGGCTTGTCTTCATGTCTCTCTGGGTGTCCCAGGGCAGCTACCAGAGACTGGAGGAGGCGGCCGCACCTTCCGCCCCCAGCCACTACGTACAAAAGGCCCTTGGCTGGGCCTGGAAGACACCACCCTGTTCTTTTCTCTTCACCCCAAACACTGTTGCTCATTTCTCAGGCAGCCGGCCACTCACGGGAAGCCCTGTCTCTCGGAGCTTGTTTGCTTTCTGGCTCACTGCTGTTCTCTGGGTCCTCCTGGGAACACCCGCCCCTCCTGCCCTGGACTGTGCTAATATAATCAGTAAACAGAGAAGCCAGTTACGAAACCCAGCGAAACTGGACAGGGCCTCGGTGCAGTGTGGGGAGCCTGTGGACTTGAAAACACACGTGTTTCAGAACCTGGGAAACTCCACTCCTGGGATCAGGGCCTCAGTCTCCTTATCTCTCGAATGGGAGAATGATACCTATCTCACAGAGAAGGGAGGAGGGCCAAAGGCCCAACACACAGGAGGAGCTCTACAAAAGTCAGCACCCTTCTTCCTGAAACTGTCTCGTTTCTTTGCACAGAGGCCTTTGCTCAGCACGTACACACCCCACGAGAGGAACAGAGAAGGTTACAGATTCCACAGTGAGATGCTTGAGTTGAGGTGGGAGCTGTTTGACCCGGAGCAAGTTACCCTCCCTCTGAGCCTCAGGTCAGCCATCTGTGAACAGGGATAGTGAGGTCCAGTCAAAGGAGAGTTGGGAGCTCTGGACTGTTGGCGGGAGTTACCCAGAGGAGGATTTGTTAGCCGCAATGTTCATTAGTCCATCCTCTTTGTAGACGATGAGACCAAGAATAAGAGTGTCATTTCCCGGAGTCACACAGCAAGTACCTGGCAGGGTACCCTTAGAACCCAGGTCTTGGGCTCCCAGATCAGAGCTGAGGCCTGAGCCCGTGATAGGACAGGGTCCCCTGGAAAAGCCAGCTGGACCTCCGCCTTGGCCCTGTCTACCCTGGGTGTGGACAGCTGTTGGGGAGATGGCCAGCAGAGCTTGGCTGACGCCACATCCAAGAGGCCAACTATCCCAGGGACTGAAGCCACTGGCCCTTTCCCAGTTTCCGGAGGCAACCCCACTTAGTGCTGAGAGCCAGGACAGGACATTGAGAGGGGACCTGGCCCCACCACTTCCTGACCCCATGCCCTGGAAGCAGCCAGATTTGGCCATGGCTAGGAGCCCAGCACCCTTCCTGCCAGGGTCCACTTTGTAGTCTGTCTCCCCTTCTCGGTGGGCGGAGGGGGGAGCTGGCTCTCGGAGGCTTGGCAGGCCAGCGGCTGGGGCTGTAAACAGTGACAAAAGCCGTGTCCTAGCCCCTCCAGCACCCCGCAACCCAGCAACAGGGGACACAGGGCACAAACACAAGTCAGCAGCAGGACAAAGAGGCCCAACTATAGGCAATGTAGCTGTGGGACCAGTAGAAGATGGGGACACAGTCTCCAGATGCAAACATCTGGGGAGGCAGGGGCTCTGATGCCCGAACCAGAGCCAGAATGAGCAGAAGCCATGGGAGGCAGCTCTCTGCTCCACAGAGGAAAGGCTTTCCAAGAAGGAAAAAAACAACGGGCATGATTGTGGCAAGAGCTCCTGCCAGGAAAATCTGGGTGTAAAGCCCTGACCTAGCACTCCCGAGCTGTGTGGCTTTCAGCGAGTCGCTTCTGCTCTCTGGGCCTCAATCTCCTCATCTGTAAAATGGGGATTGTAATACCTTCTTCCTAGGGTTGCTGTGAGAATTTAGTAAGGTAAAACACATGTGGGGCTTAGCAAAGTGTTCGGCATAGAGTACGCAACTATAAAGCAAGCTTTGGTTATTGTTTGCTGGGGGTTCAGTAAGTATCTCTGAGACTGAAGTTCCTTATGCATAAAACTGGGGTAAAACTATCTTTCTCAAAGGCAAGTGGAGCGGACTGAATGAGACCATAAATGTGAAGATCCTAGGACTATGGCTGGCATAAAATAAATGTTCAAAAATGCCACTTTCTTTCCCCCTCTTCTGGAGAGGTAATGAGCTGCTCAGTGGTGACCAGCCAAGAGGACTCAGGAGACGAGTGAACCAGCTCATCTCTAATGACCCTTTGGGCCCTGGGGCTCTAGGATTCTGAAAGAAACAGGAAAGGCAAATAAGGTTTGTGCATTTGGCCAAGGTCCCTCCTGCCTGTCTGGGGATCAAGTTCATCCTTCAGGATTTACCAGGCATGTTAGAAGCTCCCTAGGCCAACAATCATCATGGTGGGAACAATGACAACAGGACATCAGAAGACAGTGACATGTCCCTCCTGCTGGGGACTCTAAATGAAGCCCTTCTTGGTCCCTGAGCCTTGCACAGCCAACTATGGCCAACACCCCCGTGCTGGGCTCTGGCAAGAAGCTCGAGCCCATCCACCTGGGTATCAGTCTGCATGCTGCAGGCAGAACTCTGGAGAAACACAAAGGGGGCAGGTGTGGGACAGAGGAGAGATGACAGGGTCCAGGAGCAGGGGCCAAGCCTCCACGAGCTCAGGATACCAAGAATGACCAACAGGGTGAAGGATGCACAACCTTCTATCAAAGGGAACACAAGGCAATGTCCAGTGTGAGTTTGAACACAACCTAAATCCCTACTGCAAGGGGACTCGGGCAAGGGGCCTTTCTGCAATGCTTTAATTTCCTCCTCTAGAAAATGGGATGACGATTCCTACCCTGTAGGGTGTCTTGGAGGATTGAAGGAGCCCCTGGCACTGTGCTTGGCATGCAGCAGGTACTCAATAGCCATAATATCCAAAGACAAACTCCCAGCATATATCTAGACCCTATACACATACAGCTCACTGGTCCCCATATCTACCCTTGACCTCTATCTCTGTGTCCTTGCATGCAGAACAGGAGAGGGCTGGGGGGCCCAGCCAAGGCCCAGAGACCCAGAATGGTTGCTGGTGCCAGAGATGGGGAGGCATCTCAGGAGAGGGCCTCCAGCCAGCACCTAAAGAGCTTGCCCTGCCTTCCAGCCCCTCACGAGTTTCTTCTCATGACACCCTGCTCTCTTCTCTGGTCTGCCCCCACCACAAAGAACGAGGGCTCCGGAGTCACCATCTGATCCCAGTCCTATCACTCAGTACCCGGTGAGCCTGAGAAAGTGACTCAACCTCTCTGAGCCTGTGTCCTTGGGTATAAAGTGGCCAGGTGATCTCATAGGCTTACCAAAACTTGATACTAGTAAAAGTCAGTAATGGAAAAACTCCAAAGCCTATGGCATAATTAGAGATTCTTTGCAATGTATCTCAAACTTTTACCCACAATAGAACTACCAGAGATTCAAAGATATTTTTTATTGTTACTAATCCTTTTAATTTTAATAGTTTTTTTTCTAAAGTTCTTTTCCCTCTTAAACATAAACAGAGGTAGAATAGTGGAATGCTTTTGTTCCTTTCCCGGCTCAGAAAATAATCACAACCAGATGGAAGAATGAAACAAGATCCAGCACACCACAAAACTCAGTGCTTGGCCCAAGGTCGCGCTCCAAAACGGGGGCCATCTTCTCTCCCTGGGGGTGTTCCCAGCTTCACCTCTGCCCAGGCACCTGCCCTGTGACCAGCATCCTCCTGCAGGTGTCCGGCCCTCTGGGGGCTTCCGGAACCCTCTGTGACACTGAGCCTAACCAGAGTCATTCCACCGGGACATTTTACAGAAGGGCTGAGGCCAGAGTGGAAGTCTCAACCCCCCACATTCCCTTCCCGCTTCACACTCACTTCCCATCTCCCACCTTCCCCCCGCCACACACACATCCCAGGACTGTCCTGGTTCAGGGTCTCCATCTTTCCTCTGCAACCACTGCACCAGCTTTCCCACTGCCTTCGACTCTCCCATGATCCATAGAGATTGTATCATCACTTGTCAAGACCCTTCCATAGCCCCCAGTGCAGACTGAAAGTCAGGACCCCCAACCTGGCATTCAAGGCCCTCCTTGCTCTTTCAGCCTCGTTACCCACTGATAGCCCCAACAACACTCTCTGTGCCACCTAACCTTGCCTCATTACGTCACTCTTCTGCCTCCAGAAGAGCTGGGGGTCTAGCCTCAGCTCTGCCTCTGCCCCTGTGTGACCTTGGGCAAGCTCCTGCCTTTCTGAGCCTCAGTCTCCTCATCAGGCTATTGGGGCTCACGTGCAGACCAGACAAGATAAGGCCGTGTGCACCAGGTGCCAGAGGGCTCAGGAAATGCTAGCCTGGAGCCACTGCCTCCTCCAGGCACCCCGCACCCCCCCTCCATTCCTCCCGCAGCAGCTGGTGGCTATCTGCTTCTTAACCCCAGCAGCTGTGTGTGCTCTCTCCCCTAAGCCCCCCGGAATGCAGACGTGCTTGCAGCCAGCAGCGGCAGCCAGGGACGGGAGCAGAAGACAGGAAGGCTTAGAGGAAAATTACCAGGCTCTGGCCCAGCCAATGGTGACGCTCACAGCTCCCTCCCAGAGAAGGGATCTGGGGGCCTGGCAGGCTCTTTCTGAGCCATGGTCTTGGCCCCAAGCCTTGACCCCTGTCTGAGCTCATAGGGTAGTAGGGGGTACCCTGGGCCCCACTCGTCCAGGACACTCCCACTCTGGCATCGAAAGAGACAGGGAGGAGGAGGCAAAAAAAAAAAAAAAAAAAAACAGACAGGCCTTTGTGAGAGGAGAAAATTGGCACACTGACATGGAAGGGGTCCTTCTGCGGCCCGGGAGCCTGTCCTGTTGCTATATCTCAAGCCCCGTATACTGGCTCCCATGTCCCAGCATCATATACACCACGTTCTCTACGCCCCATACCAGGCCCGTGTTCCTCATGCCTTGCCCTGCATGTGTACCCTGATGCGTGGTGCGTGCACTGGGGCCCACATCACTTAGACCGTACATCACGCCCCATGTACATCTGTGTTTGATGCACTCTGTCGTACATACCATCTTTTGAAATACCAGGTCCTGTCCCTTGAAAGTGTGTGCCACAAACTGTGCCAGACAAACAGGGTCCCTCACTCCGTGCTGTGTTTCCAGTCTGCAGTGTAAGGATGAAGGAGGACAGATTCCCAGCCCTTCCAACTGTTACCTATGCAACCGGAGAGAAGTTACCTCCGCTCTTGGTGCCTCAGTATCTTTGGCTATGAAATAGAAATGATATTAACACTCACCGCATAAGAGTTGTGGGCATTAAAGGAGACCATGCATTTAAAATGCTTAGCCCAGTGCTCGGCACAGAGTCAATACAATGTTTGCTGACATTGTTACAAACACACCCAGGGACCTGTACTACCTCCTAAACTCCCTGCCAGGCTCCCACATCCCTGGCTCCCACTAGGCATCAGACCTTCCACCACATTAGTGAAATTCAAACAATAAGCTGCAAGAAGGATATGATTTTCCCCTCTGCTACGGAGGAGAAATCCAAAGCTCAGAGAGGGGCAATAATGTGCATGCGGTCACACAGCCAGAAGGAGTGAAGCTGGGAGGGGCACACAGGTCTGGGCACTTGAAGAGACAGAAAGTAGATTAGTGGTGGACCAGGGAGGGGTGGGTGTGGAGACTGCCAGCAAGCAGGCAAAGGCATCATTTAGGGAGGATTTGGGGTGATGGAAATATTCTCAAACTGGATTTTGGTAATGGTGGCATAATTCTGTAAATTTACTAAAAATCATTGAATTAATGAAAATAGGTGAATTATGTGTATGTAAATTACGTATAAATTTACTTTGACAACTTATGTACATTAGACTTCCAAAAAGCTGTGTTGTTTTTTTCTTTTTTTTAAAGCCCATGCACTTCCCATGCACCATTCTGCCCAAGCATGCAGCGAGAAAAGTGACTCCCCGTGAGTTAGGAGGGATGGTCAAGCAGAGGCTTAGCAACCAACCACTCCGAGGCCCAGCCAGGAAGAGCCTTGCACTGTGAGATTCCCAAACACCTCTGCAGCCCAGGTGTGCAGCACAATCACCCAGGGAGCTCCAGAAAACCTGGATTCCCAAGCCCCACACCCAGCCTCTGAATCTATAGGTCAGGGTTCGGCCCAGGCACCTGGGATTCTGAGGCTCAGCCTGGACTGGGAGCCCTCATCAAAGCTCAGTATCTCCTTTCACACTTGGGGAAACAGAGGCCAGGCAGGACTGGGGACGTATCAGACCTAGTAGATCAAGCAGTGGGAAAGCCAGGGCTGGAATTGGGGCTCCCTTTCTTGTCCTTTCTCTCGTTTCCCTCCTCCTCCCTGGCCCTCTGCCTCCTGGTGACTCAGGGCTCTGAGTCATCCTGTGGCACCACAGAGGAAACTTCTCAGGAAAAACAATCCCCAAACAAAGCCTCCCCTGATCTGGGGAACAGAATAGGCCCAGGAGGCTAAGAGAGGGAGGGGAGAATATAGGCTGGAGGTGGAGGGCAGGACCCTAAGACCTGGTCTCTCCTATTGGCCACTGACTTGTGTGGGGCCCTAGAGATGGCATTTCTCTGCTCTGAGCCTCAGTTTCCCCACCTGTAAATAACACCTACTATTGCACATAGAGGCTTATTATGGACCACTCAACATGATAAGTATTTATAAGCTTTTTCTTGTTGATAATGCTTCCCCCAAACCCATGGCTAGCATCATGCCCATTTTACAGGCAGGGAAACTAAGGTTCAGAGGGGTTCACCCAAGGCTGCACAGTTACGAAGTGTAGAGCAGGGTCTGAATCTAGGCCTATGTAAGTCTGAGGTCTTCCTCTCATGCCTATACACCTTTAAAACATACCTACTGCATGCATCAAACATACAGTGGATGGCCACAGTAGGTGCTCAACTACAGATCCCCTCCCCCTTCCGCCTTTCCTCCCGACCCCGTAGGGAGCACACATGAACTCAGGGTAATCACTCAGCAGGGGCACAAGGCAGGGAGCATCCAGGGCCTAAAGAGCCATAGAGGAGGAAGATCTGAGCAGAGCCTAAAGAACGAAGGGAGGTTTTTCTCTGGGGAGCTGGGAACCGGGCAAGTCAGGAGGAGGGAACAGCAAAGGCAAAGGCTCAGAGGTGTGACCCACATAGAGCAATGCAAACACTGGAGAGGCGTGGCTAGGGAAGGGGTCTGACTGCCAGGAGTGCTGGCCTGGTCCCAGGCAGTAGGGAGAACAGGATCAGAGGTGGTTTGTGCTCTGCAGAGGGCCTGGCTGGCAGCTGACCTGGGAGAGTTGGACTCCCCCTGGAGCCCCTCCCCTGAGCAAGCTTCAGGGACCACCGCAGATCCCTTGCTACTCACCCACGGGTCAGAATCTCCTCCAAGGGCCTCTTCCTCGGCCATAGCTGGGTTGGGCAGAGAGTAGGTGAGCCTCTCCTTCCCACATCAACCTAATCACACAGGCCTATAAATAGGACCCTGTGGCTTAGTCTGAAATAGCTTTGCCAGGCCCAAGTCCGCAGCTATCACATGGGCACACACGGTTCTGGAAATGGTCCTTGACACATTGGCACATTAAAAACCGAAACTTCCTCAGGAAACTATTGTTCGTGCTCTAATTCACTTTCTTAAACATGAAGCAGTGGGCTGGGTAGCAGAGCCCACCCAACTCCTGCTGATGACTGGAGACGGGCCTTGTGAGCCCTTCTCTGCTTTGTACTCTCTGGGGACCCTGAGCAAGCCAATACCTCTCTCTGGGCCTCAATTTCCCCAAATGTAACGATGGTGGTTGCATGATTTTCTCAGGGCCTGTCTAGCCAGGATACTCCCTGGAAATGTCCGGGAGAGCTCCTAGCCCCAAAATGCTCATTCCATTGTTACCCCTCCCCCCATCAACTTGGGAATTTTTTTTTTAATTATCAGCATTTGAAAAGTGAGAATTCCAAGTGGGAGAAATGAACAGGTCCGAGCCCTGCCACTGAAGAGCTGGGTGACCTTAGATGAGTCACTGTCTCTCTCTGGGCCCCAGATTCCTCAGCTATATGATAAAGGGGCTGGTGGGATGATTACAGATTTGAGGCCACAGAGGACTCCCCAAGGGGCAGGTTAGAACACAATGGGCCTCTTACCAACTGACAGGGAAATAAACATAATCGAGCTGTCTACACCAGGCCCATGCTTAGGACTTTATTTCCCCATTGGTGATCCTCAGCAACCCTCTATCACCCCCATTTTCACAGGTGAGTAAACTGAGGCTAAGAGATTAAGGGATGTGACTAGCAAGTCAGGACCAGAGTGACGTTTCAGGCTCAGACCATTGCCTCTGGTGCCCAGGATGTAACCGCACTTGGTACTGCACTGAAATGGTGTTGGTGGCTCAGGAGTGCTGACCAACGGGGATATAACCCAATAAGGGCAGGGGACAGAAAGGGGAAGAGTATTTTACTGTGTGTGTGTGTGTGTGTGTGTGTGCGCGCGCGTGCGCACGCACGCAGGTGGGTGGGAGTGACCAGGCTTCACCCAGTGACACTCATTCTCTCCAACCAGTTGACCCTCCCATGTGCCCTCCCCTCCGCCTCCCACCTGTTCTCAAATTGCATTGTGCTAATCACTCCTCAGCTCAAAGCCTGTCCATGGCTCCCTGGCACCCAGAGGACTGAGACCCAGTATCTCCGGCCACTCCCCACTTCAGCCCCACATTCCTGCTTTAGCCACACTGCTCACTAGTCCCTAAGCACAGCGGCTCCGGGTGGCCTTTGCACACGTGACTCCCTTGGCTGGAATGTCCCAGTGCCCCCTTAGCCCAGTGCTTGACGTAGAGTAGGAAAAGCCCTCCCTGGCTCCTGGAGACCCTGGCCCTCATCCCAGTGCACTCTGGGCCTCAGCCCCCACAAATCTTGATTTCCAAGGGTGGGGTGGGATCTAACTCACCTCCCCTCTGCAGTGCAGAAGCTCAGCAAGGGTTGGCCAGGTAAATGAAAAGATGCAAAGAGCAGAGAGAATGCTGGAAAGTGCACATTTCCCAGGACTGACCAATACCAAGCATGGAAGCCTCTACTGAGGCATAGCGTCAGGACACCACGCTGTGGCAGAGCCAAAAACTACACCCTCAGGACGGATCAGAGTCAGAGTGGGACCTGCGCTAGCTCTCTCAAGGGCTCCCCCTAATAAAGCAATCTGTGCAGGTCTCTCTCCTGCTTTAAAACTTGTGGTGCCCCAGTGGTTTAGGATAAAAATCCAAACTCTGACCAAGGCCCCCAAGGGCCTGCATGCCTGGGGCGCTGCCTGGTCTCCAGGGCCTTCCATGGTCATGACCATGCTCCTCTCGCCAGTTCCTCCCAGAGTCATGTTCCTCTCTTCCTGTTACTCAACGACTCCACATGCAACATCCTGCCTCGCAACCACGTGTCCGTGCTGTTCCCTGAGCCTGGGGGCTCCCGTCCCTGCTCACGCAGCCACCTGCCGTCCCCTCTCCAGGTCTGGGCTTTCTCAGGGAGGCCTCAGTCCTGTGTCGGGTCAATATGCCGCCACGCCCACCCAACTCCACGTGCTCTTATAACCCTAGTCATCTCCTTCTCAGCATGGTCTGTCATGTGCATCATGGCTGAGTGCTGTAAGCCCCAACACTGCACGGCCCATGAGGGATGGGAATATCTTGTTCTTTGCTGATGCTCCAACACTGGTTCCGGGCCCAGGTATCTGGTGGTGCACACATGATTGAATGAATGAGCAGAGGAGCAAATGAACCTATATGTGTAATTCAAGACCAGAAGGTGGTGAGAATCCTAGTGAACGTTGGAGGCAGGAAGACAGGGTCCTAAGAAGATCAGAGAAGTGGCAGATCAACTGAGGGGGGGCAGCGTCCCAGGAGCAACAAGGAGAGCGCTTCCGGAAGGAAAGGTATCCAGTGCTGCAGCAGGTGGACGTGGAGACCTGAGGAAGTGCCACCGGATTTTGACAAGCAGGAGGTCCCTGGTGCCCCCTGGTTGAACCCCAGTTCAGCAGAGGCGGGCTTGAGGCGGGGCGCACTGCAGGGGGGCAGCACTTGAAGGGGGTGGGGTAGCAAAGCTCATATTAACAGGTACTCAGCTGGGCTTGAGCCAGCCTGGCCCGGCAGGGTCTGCAGAAGTGGGGAAGACAGAAGACAGGTCCCTGTGTCCTTGCTGTCAAAAGCACTGGCAGAGTGTAACACTCTTTGGTGACAGATCACTTTGAGGCAAGTCAGCTCTGGGAACTGTCAGGGCTCAGGCCCCGAAGCAGGAGTATCAGAACAAAGACTGGCCCCAGCTCCCTCCCTTCTGGGCAGCATCAGGGCTGGCCCTTTGGCTACAGAACCCTTAGGGCGCAGCTGAAGTGGGCCAAGTCACATCTCTATGCCTAGCCAGCCTTCTAGGAATCCCTGGGTTTGTAGACAAAGCATTCCGGAGACCATCAGAAGGCCCCTGCATCTAAGCTCTGGGAAAGAGGAACAGCTCCAAGGAGTGTCACCACCCGAAAGCTAGCTGGGCCACAGCAGATGAGCAAACCCTGGAGTCATTTGGCCCTTTCTCCTTTTGGCCCCCAAGGGTGATATCATGAGCTGGAGGGGTGCTTTCCAGGCTCTCCGCACAGTTGCTATTAGAAATTCACTTCTGTTCTGGCACTGGAGGCCAGGTTTTTCCCCTGGTAAGGATCCTTCCCACTTTGCAGCTCACAAAGCTCTTGAGCATCTACAACCTCGTACGGTCCTCATGACAACCTTTTCAGGTGGCTGGGTGGGAGACCAATACACCCATTTTATAGGCGGAGAAACTGAGGCCTAAACTGGGTCATGAAGTGGGTCCCTTGCTTCTAGCCCAGAGCGCTGCATGCCCACCCACTGTGTGTCAGCCTCCTACAGGAGGTCACCTGTGAATCAGATAGTCATGTTGGCCCCATCCTGCCTGTTGTCCCAGGTGGGTATGACTCATTCGCCTGCCCTGTGACTCACACAGCTTGGGTACTCCTCCTATGGTCAACAAGCCTGGAGACTTGGCAGCCAGGGCCCAGCTTTTTCTCACCTCTCCAAAGCCTCCGGGAAGAATTCCTGGACCTCCAGGGAATCCACCCTCTTACAGAAGCGCTAACAGAGGCCTTGAGAAGGAAAGCAACTTTCCTTCAGCCACACAGTGAGAACATAGCACAGAGAGGATAGGGGCCCAGGCACCCTGGCACCCAGCCCAGCCCTTGTGTCTGCCCCACAGGATCACCCTTGCCCGGCCTCCCTCACAAGGGAGAGCGAGGAACAAATGAGGCAATGGGCAGAAACGCACTCTGGGCTTTACTAGAGAAACCTCAGGGACTCCCTTTGAATCCACAGTAGTGACCAGCAGCTGTTTCCACTGTCCCTTCCAGACTCCCCTAGGCAGCCAGAGCTGGGTTTAGGAGGATGCAGGGGTGTCTGCTCTACTCCACCTACCTTGCAGGGCTGTGAGGGGGAAAGAGGACTGCTCCGTGCAGAGGTGCTGGGACCACGGCAGAGGCACGGTACAAGGGGGTTATCAGCACCACCTGTAAATAAAGGGCCAAGAATCTCAACATCAGGCACTCAAGATCATCTGGTCAAAATCCCCATTTGATACTTCCATTCCACTCATCCCCAGCACCCACCACCACAGTCACACGGCCTCTACTTGCACACTTGAAGCAATGGGGCACTCACTTCCTGCCAAGGCTGTAAGATCTTCTGTTGAAGAGTTTAGCTGGTTGAAAGAACTGTCCTCAGGATGGGCTAAAATCTCTCTCCCTATGCTTTACACCTGCTGGTTCTCGCTCTATCTGCTCAGATCACCCAGAATAGGTCTGTCACCCTGTTTCCCGATGGCTCCTTAGAGACAAAGACAGTGATCTTGGGCCCCTCAAGTCTTCTACAAGTTGTATACCCTCTTTCCTCCAGCTTTTCCTGAGACCAGACCAGGTGTCTGGTTCCCTCCCTCACCCCCTTCCCTGATCAGCTCTAAATGAACCTTGTCCCTACTGACAGCACAAGACCCAAAATTTGACATTCAGGCGAGCTCTACCCAGGGCAGGGCAAGCAGAACTCTCACCTCCATCATTCTATATACCATGCCTCTATTAATCCAACCTAAAATCCCATTTGCATGTAAGGCAACCCCAGGGCATGTCTGAATTCAGCTTATGGTCAACTTCAGAGCTATGGTTCAGTATTCTGGAGTTAGACGAAATGACCCCTCATTTAACTAACTGCATAACTTGATCAGGTTACTTTACCCTGAGTCTCAGATTCCTTCTCTGTAAAAGGATTATGTTAGAACTTATTCCATAGGCTATTATAAGGATGAAATGAGATAAGATATGTCAAGGGTTTTGAACAGCATATATGTTTACTCTGATTGTTAATTAAATCTCTAAACCTTTTTCTAGAAATTATGTTTTTCTCATTCTGTACTTGTGCAGTTTGGGGACCCAAGCTGTTTACATGCTGTATCTCCACTTCTATGCCTAAGCCTTGCTCTACCGTTGTAAGACCCTATTATCGTTATCCGGCAACAGGTCTTTCTCTCCCATCAGGCTGTGAGTCCTGCCAGTCTGCTTTGCCTCTGAAATTCTGGTCCAGGCCCATGAGCTGGCAAACAGCAGGACCAGTGGATTTATATGCTAGAGAAGTGAAAGAAGGACCAGCCAACATTGGCCCCACAGTGAATTGTGCATCCCAGCCCTTTGGCCCCCTGCCTTTCAGGGCCAAACTGGATCTTCACCCTTCCTCATTCCCCAGAGCTCTAGTCATCCACATTCAGGGGGCAGCTAAGCAAGCTGGCTCCTGCCTACATTGGAAAATTTCTCTGCCCAAACCAGCTTCTCCAAGCCAAGGAGAGAGTCCGAGATCCTAAATACAGTGGGGCCCTACAGGCTGCAGGGATTAAGACACCAGTGAGCCCTGTTCTCAGCTGACAGTCAATGGCCTAGGCCTTCCCGGTGTATTTCTGCATTGTGAGTGGCATACATAGCAAAGCAGGGGATCTGAAAAAGAGGCTGACTGCTTATCTGGCACTTGTGTCCATCCCAGCTCTGTGGGCCTTCCTCAGAGAGTTCCACCTGGAACTTCCTGGTTCCAAGGATAGATCAAAGCAGACTTGGGTTGTATGGTGTTCCTACAAGTGACTAATGACCTCTCACTTTCTGTTAACTCTGTGTGAGGACAAGCCTTTGAAATCCAGCCCGCTTTTCCTCTACACACCTCCAAATCACCCCCTCATCCTCACTGGTGGTGCTACATTTCTTCCCAAATGTAATCTGTTCCTCCCCTGATGTTCCCCATCTCAGCAACAGCACCACCAGCCACCATCCACAGCCTGGGCCAGACCAGACACCAGGGCACCACCCTCCTCAACCTCCCCTGCTCTATCACTCAGGCCTCCAACACCACCTCCCCCTGCCATGCCCTGCCCTGCCCTGCTGGTTCTGCTCAAATGCATCTTCTTGTCTCCACCCCCACTGTCAACATCCAGGTTCAGGTACCATCACCTGTCATCTGGGTGACTGCAGTGGTCCCCCCACCTCCTCTCTCCCCTACAGTGCAAGCCCAGACCGTGTCACTCCTCTGCTCAGACTCCACCATGGTTCCCCTAGAGCCCCAGAGATAAAGTCCAAGAACCTCAGTGAACTTTTCAGTATCCTTCATGATCTGCTGCTGCCTGCCCCATGAGCTTCAGCCTCTTCAGTTCCTGTCTTCCACCCACACCCCTCCAAGCTCCAGCTGGGGCGAAGCTGCACTCTCTGCCCTCTGAGTCCACATGTAATCTTCACAGAATCTCCTCTGTTCCAGAACTGTCTTCCATCCCTATTCTTCATTTCTCCTTCCACTCATGATCAAGCCCAGTTTCCTCCAGGAAGTTTGCTTTAACCTCTCCTCCCCCGTGAGGGTGAGCTCCTCTGGGCTCCCCCAGGCCTCTAGTCTTCCCTGTCACCCTGGATTATGGTCCGTTTCCCGGTTAGCCTCCCGCATTAGACTAAGATCTGTTCCCATGGATCCCAGCGCCTAGCCTAGGGCTGGGGCCACCACAGCTCAAGATTCACCAAAGGAAGAAGCTAGGAAATCACACGCATGCACACATGCATAGACACATGCATATATGTATATGAGTAAACATATACTCATGCACGTGTACATTTACAGACAGCTAAGAGAGCAGGTGCTGCCACCTATGGGCAAAAAGAGCATTACACTCTTCCCCAGGCTCTGGATGGGAGGAGCCCCAGAAACGCAAAGCATTAACTCCAGCTAACACGAAGTTGGTCTGTTTCCCATTCTGGACCTTAAGGCTGCAACAACTTAAAAACAAGATCCACAAACCACTCACTCTAGTCCACCGCCCACATGCTCCAGAGGGAGTCATAAAGAGAGATGTTTCCTTCCAGCACTCACCATCCCTGTCTGGGGCCTGCGGAGTGCCTGTTTACTGAATTATATCTTAGAGACGGGGAGAAGGCACAGTCTGTTAGTGCTGCCCACCAGTGGAGGGGCTGGCCTTTGGGTAGAGAGCTCCCTGTTAGTGACACTGTGCAAGTCACCAGGAACCCCATATGTCTAGGTGGCTGAAGAGGAGCTTTCTGCCCTTTGGGGTGGGGTGGGGGGAGGCCCCAAGCCGGAGGTGTTTTTCTCCTAAAAGACTGTTCCCAGCATAATGGGAGGACTTTCAGATTTGGTCGGAGAAACATGATCTCTGCCTCGCAATCCCTGAAGGGTTCAAATAGCCACCCCAAATGACAACCCTGCTTTTCTGAACACCTACCAAGTATTAAACTCTTGACATACATCATGTCTCATCCTCATGATACTCTGCCAGGCAGATATCATGGTTCCTGTTTTGTGAAGGAAGATACAAGCTCAGAGAGGTGAAGTAATGTGCTCAGTCACACAACTAAGATGTCTACACAGTTCCCACCAAGGCAGGCTGCCTCGCTGACTTCTTGGTCTCGCTAAGTTTCAGGCATTAAGGCTAGGTCTCTTGCATAGAGAAAAACACAAAGCTTTGGTTACTCTAGATCAGGGGTTAGCAAATTTTACTGTAAAGGGCCAGTTAGTAAATATGTTAGGCTTTGCAGGCCCCATACCTTGTCTGCTGCATATTCTTTCTTGTTTGGTTTTAGGTTTGGGTTTTTTTTTGTTTTTTTTTAACAACCTTTTAAAACAATGTAAAAACCATTCTTAGCTCAAAGGCATACAATCACAGGCTGAGGCCTCCCCAGAACTGTAGTTTGCAGCCTACAGACTTGAGAGAAGAATGTCTATAATCTTAAGTATAAAAACTTCTGGTGGAAATAGTTAAGATGAATGCTAGGTCCTTCAGCTGTGTTTCTCCTGCTTCAGATAGCTTCCTGCTGAGTCGCTCTCTCCTAAAGAAGGGCTCTACCTTGCTCTGCAATTAGGCAGCAAAATATTTCAAGGGCTGTTCAAATTCTAGAAACTCAGCTGTGGACTAAACAGTTTGACTCCACATAGAGAACAAAAGTGAGAGGCAAATTCGATGTGTAGAAAGAACCTCTACCACAAGACATTAAGAGATCTAGGCTCTGGTCTGGGCCCTGAACAAGGGATTTAGAATCTTACTATGCAAAGTGTGGTCCCTGGACCAGCAACTTCTGCATTACCTGAGATCTCACTAGAAATGCAGAGCCTCAGGCCCCACCCCAGACCTAGTGAACCAGAATCTGAATTTTCACAAAATGCCCGAGTGATTCATGTTCACGATAAGTTTGAGATCTGCCAAAACATCTTTCATGTCCAACTGCAATATTGTTACCACAACCCTTTCCCTGAGGAAAGAAAGGGTTTAAAGACATCTTTCTTTATGTCATAGTATTTATTAAGTCTCTGACCTATCATCTGCACTAGGCACCCCGTTTTGGATGCACAATCAACAGACCAAGACCTGCCATTGGATCTTGAAATCAAATCTTTGACTGGCAGAAAAGTAGAAGGAGGAGAACCAGAGAAGGTGCCACTCCCCATTTCACAGTTGGTGGGGGGGAGATCAGGCATGACTTTCCCAAGACTATGCTGCCAAGGAAAACAAGGGGCCTGACCAATGCTTCATTTTCCCAGGCCTTGGGTTTAATAACTGAACTCATTTTGGTTTAGATTAGAACTTTCGAAATCTTACAAGTGGTGGAGTAGCAACCAAGGGGCTCGCTGTGTGCTTTACAATAATTAATTGCTGTCTCTGGGCCTAAGTATCCCTGGTCATGAAGTAAGGGGCGGGGCCAGGCAATTCCCAAGGTCTAACTGTAAAAGCTGGAATCTGGAAGAACGATTTCGAGGCAAAAAGGCAGTCAGGAGAGGAGCCTTCTGCTGATGGTCACCACAGTCCCACCAAAGTCTCAGGGCTGATAACACAAAGTCAAGCCCATCATCCTAAGCGTGGAGGCAGAGCAGTGACCTGGTTTAAGCTCAAGGTCTTACCGCAAGTCCCAAGAGAAACTGGAAATGAGAACAGGCTTCTCTCTCTGCTTCCTCAGCTTGGGACCATAACCATTATCCTTACTGATGC